TAGATAATAACGTTATCGAAAAGAAAATCGGAATAGTGTGAGAAAATGGCTCAGAGGTAGAAGTTTGGCTATGATCGAACTAAATGATGGAGCAGGCTGGAGGGGCTGAATGGCATACTGCTGCTTCTATTTCCTATGTTGCTCCCTCGACCTATTTGTCCTTGTCAACTACAACCTCATTGTTGTACAAGGGAATGGTTCTGAAAGAGTTAACCTTGAAGCTCCACCCAATCTGATGATATCACTGAGTCTTTCAGTGAAGAACACAGTTTAGCATGAGGTTACAATGGGGGCAGCATATCCTCTCTGGTTTCTGATGGTCTTTGTCATTATTTCTTTCTACTCAATGTAACATGCACTTATTGCTCTCGTGCAATGAACTAATCTTGTTGTGTAAAGCAACTCCCTCTTCTTGTTAAGACTCAATGCTGTTTTATCCTCTACTACTAAATAACCCATTGGTGGTAGCACTGTATATCAGCCACAAGCCACTTCTCTTGGTACCACATCATACCACACTCATTTCCAACCATCATTTCATTCCACATGGACATCTTGTCCCTTTAGGGAAGTGTGGGAACAATTAGTTGACTGATTATCAAGCTGTTGAATAATGTCATGAACACCTCTTCCATGACCAACAAGTTCTGGCATTGGAAATGAACTTGGAACTTTTGGTTCAGAAGTTGCATGTGCTATTTACTGAGCACCTTCACCTTCCAAACCTAGGCCCAATCTTCCTGCAATTCCAAATCTGTATCTCTCCAGTCAGGTTTCCTTCCTTGTCATAACTCTCAAACTGCCCTACTCAAAGTGGAAAATGATGTCACTCTCATTACCCTTGACATCTCTGCAACACTTGACATGGTCTGGCTGTGTCATCTTTGGCCAATCCCTTTCGCCCATTGTTCAGTTTTGACCTTGCTTGATTCCACTGTTATCTACGTATCCAAAACTGAGTTTTCTTCGCACATATTATCTTCAAAATCTCTGGATGATCAGTCCTTGGTCTCCTCCTATTCATCGACGTGGTAACATCATCTTCAGTTAACTTCCGAGGATTGGGATTTTAGCTCCTGCTGGGTCCACAGTTGGAGTCTGTGGAGGGTGAAAATGACCCACTGGCCTATGTCCTAACTGCTAGGCTCCAGGTAATTCTCTTGAGATGAGAAAGGCTACCTACCCACATTACTGGGGGTGACTATTAATCCAATTAAGACAGTAAACAAGTATTAATACATGTAGAAATGGGCACACACAAGCAAACCTTGATGGGATAAGCAGTCTAGGCAAGTTTCAAGACCCTCCCTACTTTGTCCATGTGTAGAAGAAGCCGCAAACTGTCCTTTTGAGGAGCTTTACCTGCAGATATCCATTTCCACCCACCCACTCCACAATGACGATCTGACTCTACAACATACTATTTAATTAATGACTTCTAAGAGCTGGATGAAAGGCACATCCATGTTGAAACACCATCTCTCTTAATTACCTGTCATTGCTGCTGCTTCTTTCAAGCGGGAAATGCCTCCGATTGGTCCTCCAATTTGAGAGTCCACCCATCAGCCTTAACTGGATGATGAACCCTCCCACTCACCTTCGCAGCACAGCGATTGTTTGCCTCAGGACCTGAGCTCTGTTGCCTATCCCTGAGGGAAGATCCAGCCCAACATGCATGTTGACAATACACGAATCCTTCATTAGCTTCCACAAACCTCCTCCGTGAGTGAGATTTCTTATTGAGTTAGTTTCAGCCATGTCCATTTATACTTTGTGATGTTTGAGGCATCATTTTCAGGTCTGCCCTCTCACCACTGTACTGTGAAGGGTTAATGTGAATACGTAAATAGAATAGTTGACAACATCTTAAGAAGTGATGCAACATCGCATGACAACTGGGAAATGGTTCTATCTTAACAGCTTCAAGTGAATTGGTGTCCTGTACACTGTTAGTATTTACTACGCTGAATCAAAGGTGACAACTAAGACTCCTAAAGTTTTTTTTAATTCACTCACAGGATATGGGCGTCATTGGCTGGGCCAGCGTTTATTGCCCATCCCTAATTTCCCTTGAGAAGCTGCAGGCCATTTAGTGTAGGGAGACCTACACTGCCGTTAGGGAGGGAGTTCAAGGATTTTGACCCAGTGACAATGAAGGAACGATGATATATTTCCAAGTCAGTGGCTTGGAGGGAAACTTGCAGATGGTGGTGTTCCCCTGTATCTTTTGTTTCTGTCCTTCCAGTTTGTGGGTTTGGAAGGTGCTGTATGTGCTGCCTTTACTCCAACCATTATGACTCCCTTTGCCTTTTATTTCTTGACAAATTTTGTTTAATCTCACCTGCACTCTATCCCATCTCAGCCGTTCCCTTTTGTTCTTCCTCTTCTTCCTCACCACCACAGCACTAGACGCCTCACATTTCTATCTCACTTCACTTCTGACAAAGAGGTGTATTCAATTCAGAGCATTAGCTCTGCTCGTCTCGCCACATTTGCTGCCAGACCTGCTCCTTATTTCAGTCTATTCTCAATCTGTACCAGCAATTCCTTTGCTCTCTCATGCCTGAACAAAGGTGCTGGATAACAGAATCTACAGACTTGTTTACTGCTCTCTGCCCATACTCCACAGCTTCCTTCGGCTGGAAGAATAGGACTTGTGTCATCGTCCTTTGTAAATCCATATGCTTATCCTAGTGCTTCCAGCATCATGGCAAACAATCATTAGATTCATGGTGTCATATTCTGCTCTTTGCACTGCACCAGGAGGATACAGTGACATGAGCAGTCCTTCTCTTATACTTCCTTATCCTGCCTACTGCAGTTTACTTTCAATTCAGCGGCCTTTAAAAATTTCACCTGCAGTGCCCATCTTTTATAAAATTTGTCATACACGTCGATTCAGCAGGCATTATCCTGCTCAGAGTTTAGAAGTGGACGGGTTTCTGCTTTTTGGGTTTTGTGGTTAATGAGCATCTCTGTCAGTTCAAGAACGTGTGCTCTGATATACAAATAGTCACGTGGTGGTCCAGAGTTCGAATATCGCTGAAAAGAGAGTCACGATGCTTCAGCTTTCCAGCTCCCACTCATCAGCAGAAATGCAAGAATGCCTTCCTTCAAACGATTACTGTCATTTAAATTGAATTGCTTTTGGTTGCTGCTAACTTGATTCTAAGTTAGAGAAGAAGAAGTAGCCATGATTTGGAGGTGCTGGTGTTGGATTGGGGCGGACAAACTTGGGCATCAGGTTATAGTCCAACAGATTTATTTCAAATCATAAGCTTTTGGAGTGCAATCAACAGCCCAAATGTGGGAAGTTGTGAATCAATGGGAAAAATCCAGCAGAGGAAGAAATTAATGTGGGAAATGCGGTGATAGGATTAGACCACTTGGTCCCTCAAACCTGGGATTCATGGCTGATCTGATATTCCTCACGTCCGTTTTCTTGCCCTCTCTGTGTAACTCCTGATTCCCCTTCTGGGTTGGGTGTCTGAGAACGTCAATTCACAGTAATATTGCACTTTTAACATAGCAAAATGTCACAAAGCATTTCACAAGAGGACTATAGAATAAAATTTCATACTGAGTCACATAAGGAGGTACTTTGCATTTTCCTGTTTTTATTTATTCATTTGTGGGATGTGGGTGTCGCTGGCTGGCCAGCATTTCTTGCCTGTCCTTAGTTGCCCTTGAGAAGGTGGTGATGAGCTGCCTTCTTGAACTACTGCAGTCTTCCTGCTGTGGGTTGACCCACAATGTCATTAAGGAGGGAATTCCAAAATTTTGACCCAGTGACACTGAAGGAACAATGATATATTTCTAAGACAGGATGGTGAGTGACTCGGAGGGGAACTTGGAGGTGGTGGTGTTCCCATATGTCTGCTGCCCTTGTCCTTCTAGATGGAAGTGGTCGTGGTTTTGGAAGGTGCTGTCTGAGGATCTTTGGTGCATGATCAAGGAGGCAGAGTTTAAGAAATGTCTTAAAAGAGGAAAGATAAATGAAGTGATTTAGGGGAGGGAATTCCTGAGTTTAGATCATAGCTATTTGAAGGCACAGCACCAGTGATGGAGGAATTATAACTTGAGATACTGAAGCTGCCAGGATTGTCAGAGCAAAGCGATTTGGAAGGGATTATAGAGTTCGAGCAGATTCTAGAGGTAGGCAGGGAGTGAGTGAGTGATTTGTAAGGAAGTTTAAAGTCAAGACATTTCTTGAGTGGGAGCCGGTGTAAGTCAGTGAACGGGACCGTTCTAGAACCCAGGCACGTGAGACACCAGCCAGAAACGTTCCAGAATCATCCAGTCTGGCAGTAACAAAGGCACAAGTGATGGCTTCAGCAGCAGATCAGCCAGGGCAAGGTCAAAGTGGGACAACAATATTGTGGCGGTGAAAGTCTTAGTCCTGGTCTGAATACAAGGAAGCTCAACTTGAGACAAAATATAGCAGTCAGGTTGTGAACAATCTCTGGCTCAGTTGCTGACAGTTGCCAGGGAGAGGGATGGAGCTAGTAACTAGGGAACAGAACTTGGAGTGAGAGATTGAAGGAGATTGTGTCTTCTTGATGTTTAATTGGAGGAAATGTTCTCATCCAATTCTAGACAGGATGAGGAGGATAGGTGCCTCTACAGAGGAGGGGAAAGTGTTCATGTTAAGATCTGTTAAATAAACAATGGTTTGCTGCAAACCTATTGACATTAAAATAAAACTCTATCAAGAAACTGTAAAGCCAAATGAATCAGAATGCAGCAGCTTTTAATGTTGAAAAGAAAGCATCTTTTATTTTTCTCTCTCTCGGCCCTCCTGTGCAAGGGAATGTGTGGGGATAGGTGTACATTTCTCACTGACACAGACATACAAGGGGAGAGAGTCTGCAGCTATTACATCCTCTTTAAGCCTGGCACAGCTGAGCATTTACAATCGACAGACGCAGAGGACCTCCCCTTTAATATCTGGATGAGGAAGTGAGAGAGGGGGAAGCTTCCCTTGAATGAGGCTGGAGAGAGAGAGAGAAGACACAGAGACAGGGAACAGCGGCTAACAGCTCTCAACACTAGCGAGATGGTCGCAGAAGGTGTGTGCATCTTTATAACCTCTCTCTCATTGTTGCATTTAATCCCTCCCTGTGTCTCTCTTTTTAACAATCGACCACAAATCGGCCAGCTTCTTATTTTGCAGAGTGCAGGTTTGAAATCTCCTGGGTTTCTCTAACCATCTAGCTGCAACGAAACAAACAAAGTTGGTCAGCTGAGTTGGGAGTTTGGATGCACTCTGAATTCAGTAGATGGAAATGCCAGGACCTACACTGTCCTTTCTTCTTTGCAAAAAAAAGTCTTGCGTTGGTCTCACCAGTGAATTCAAACCAACACCGATTTAGGTAAAGGATTGATGTGCTCGAGCCGCAGTTAGTGGGTCTGTTTGTCTGTGTATGTGTTAAAAGTGGTTGTGCCTAAGAGATAGTGAGTGAGGGATCCAACAAAACTGGGACCTCATTCAGTCTCTAACACTTAAAGTGCCACCCTCAGTCTTGAGGAATATTTAGCTTGTCTCCCTGTATCCAGTCTGGAGGTGCACTGTACAGGGTAGGAGCTCTGACTTTTTTTAGCTACTGCTTCAGAGAGATTATAACCATCAGAAACTACTCTGAGTACTGCAGATATGAATCATGTGTGAGATGGTAATGTGTTACTAAATAATGCTTGCTTCTTGCTTATTCTGCACTGTTGTGAATTCACAAGTTGAAGTTGCCATTATCCATTTGGGACATTAATAGAATCATATTCTCAGCTATTCTAACATGGGTACAATCCCAATTATCTAATTTTTTTTGAGTATTAAAAACGAGTCATGAGAGAAACATAAAGCATTTTCCTGCTCATATTGCTGACAGTAATTTCTAGACTTTGCTCTTGGAATGAATCATTTGCGAATATAATCACATATTATAATATAAAAATAGCACTTCACCGCAGTTATTGCCACAAAGCCTGTACATCTTCATCAGGATTTGGCAGGCCATGCTGTTGTGACCTTGTGTGTTTCTGGTCTCAGAATCCTCTGTGGTTGCAGAAAGTTTATTTTATGAGAGTGGGTCAGTCCCAGTGGTGACACAGTTAATGATCAGAAGGGTACAGTTTTAAGATGAGTGGCAAAAGCTCTAGTGGGGATTTTAAAAAAAAAGTACCACGTTGTTAGTTTGTGAAATTTGTTGCCTAAAAGAATGGGGGAACAGATTTAACAATAACTTTAAAATGATGACACTATTTTCCAGTTCATAAACAGGCCATTCGGCCCCCAACAGTGTTACTGCTCCATGTGAGCCTCCTTCCATCCCTCCATTTAACTCTATTTGTGGATTCTTCCATTCTGTTCTGCGTGTTTACCTAGCTTCTCCCATTTACGATAAAATGTGCACTATATGACATATTAATGTATGTGATTTGTCTCAATTACTGCTTGTGGTAATCAGTTCACCATCTCTGGATAATGAAGTTTCTCCTGAATTCCCAACTGAATTGATTAGTTTGTGTGCGTGTATGCATGCGAGCTCTGTGCTACAGACCTTAAGTATTGCTGAAACAAAAGACATGTTGTCAAAGATTTTTATTTCACATTCACCAGGATAAAGGCAAGAATACCAAATTTCAAACAGTCCCAGCAAATTATATTCCAAGAGAAAAGGGTGCTGATTGGATGGTGAGTGGACTCTGGTTGCATGGAAAAGGCAACAGGAGCCAATAGGCCTTGCAAGCTCCTCCTAATGGTTTCAAAGCTGAGGTGTAAGGCTTGAACATATTCCTTTTATTTGCAGGGAAGAAGCTCCCATTATGAATATAGCTTTAGCAGGCGTAAATGGCCCACCTACAAGCTCAACAGAATGGTGGTGTGCAACTCCTGTTATCATCCCCACTGCTTGGTCCATGGCAACACATTGCCCCAACTGAGCCACTTTGCCCTTTGTTCAGAAAGGGTTGGAACAAGATTCTATCTATTTGATGGAAAACCATAAACAGTGGAGCCTTGTTATAGTCTGCATACACAGATCATTAAAATGTCACAAGCGAGAAACATGAAGACTGATAGAATGATAGCCTTTAAATCTAGAATACAAAGGGTAGAAGTCATGCTTTGCGTATCCAAAGTCATGTTTAGACCTCACCTGGTGTGCCATGAGCAGGTCTTGGTACCATACCATACCACAGGAAGCACATACTGGCCTTGGAGAGAGTGTAGAATTTTGTCTGGACTCCAAATGTTAAATTATGAATAGGGCTCACACTGGAGCTTTATTCCATCGAATTTAGGTTAAGGGATCAAAGTATTTGGAAGGTAATAAAGTGAACAGATAGACTAGGGAAACTTATTTTCTCAGGTAGGATTGTCAAGAATGCAAAATGAAAAGTTGGCCTTTCTGGAGGAAAATTAGGAAATAATTCCACACTTAGGGTGGTTGAAACAATTTTTTGTAATTTTTGTAGACAGCAGTTGGATCACTTGTTAATCTGAGATTGAATAGATGTTTGTTAAACAAAGATACCAAGGAATATGGAGCAAGGATGTCTATTATGGGCTAAGATTGTAGATCAGTCATTATCCCACAGAATGGAGTGGGGTTGGGTAGGTTGACTGTTGACTCCTCCTATATTTATGGAGACATTTTCCCTCCGGAACATAAATAGGTACCAGAGACCTCCAATCTGGCACTGAGGACTGTGGTATTGCGGATTTTGGATCAGGTGGTTGAGGCTATGGTCAGTTCAGGTCAGACTGGGCCATGTGGGGTCAAGAGGTGCATGGAGCAAGGGATAGAGGGCAGTGGCAGCTGATAACACATCTGGATCCACATTGGATCCGTACAGCTTTGAACTGAATTGACAAAGTAAGTTATTTGTTTAAAGATTTTAAACCATTAAGGATGATTCTGAAATGGCCTGTTTTGGACACCACCTAATTTTGGATAACCGGTAACCTGTAGTGGCAGCAAAAATATTTGGAAGGCTATGGAGAAAGGATGGAGGAATGTGACTAATTCACTAGCTCTTTGGCCAGTATGGCAATTAGTTACAGAACATTCCAATGTTTGATACCTTCACCCAGTTGGCTTAGAAGAGGTTTCAGATGGCCTGTGGTGGTACCACAATTCCCAGCTAGAAGTTAATTTCCCCGTCAAAGGTGCCTGGAGACAGCATTATTAGAAGTGACAAAGAATATATATCTACTCATCATAATGGGTTGGAGAAATTATCTTGGTTTTATTGTTGCTGTAGATCCTACCTGAGGATCTATTTATTGCAGTTTATGATAGATTTTTTGAATAAAAAGGGCCTCAATTATTTGCTTTAGTGTGTGCTCCTGTTCGCGGAATGAATAGACCTGTGTTCAGAATAGGCTGTTCACTGGATTAATGTGCGTACAGCACCACCTCCTACATCACTGGGCACTTGGTTAATGTATACTTGTCAAGCCTTTACGGTAATCATAACTTAAGGTCAGATACAGTTGGAAGACATGGAAGAGATGTTCCAGTTAGAAATATTGATGGCCGTTTTTTTATAATGGATACCGACAATATTAAGGTGTCATATTTTAATTCCACCCCCTGGAGTTAGGAGAATTCATAGGCTGTGGCCTATGTGTGAGGTGTTTAAAGGTTTAAGGGGCAGCTCCCTGTGTGGGTCCTCACAGGCCTGAGGTGCTTTAATTCCATGGAAGTGGATCATCGTTTGTGGAAGGTATGTTGTTGAGGACTGAGCAAAACACTTGCAAAACTTGCTCATTAGAGGAAGCTGTTGAGAAATAGTTTAAACAGCCACTTAAAGCTTTTTGAGATAACAAGGTCTAGAGCTGGATGAACACAGCAGGCCAAGCAGCATCAGAGGAGCAGGAAGGCTGACGTTTCGGGCCTAGACCCTTCTTCAGAAAATCTTGGCCTGCTGTGTTCATCCAGCTCTACACCTTGTTATCTCAGATTCTACAGCATCTGCAGTTCCTGTTATCACTTAAAGCTTTTTGTTGAGTTTCCTATCAAAAGTACAGTCCACAATTGGAAACTCATTAGAAATTCTACCATTATTTTTGTGACCCTTTGTATAAAGCCATTCTTTTCAAGCAGGCTTTTGAGCACAGGGGCTCAGTGGTTAGCACTGCTGCCTCACAGCGCCAGGGACCCGGGTTCAGTTCCCCCCTTGGATGTCTGTGTGGAGTTCGCGCGTTCTCCCTGTGTCTGCGTGGGTTTCCTCCCACAATCCAAAGATGTGCAGGTTATGTGGATTGGCTATGCTAAGTTGTCCATAGTGTCCAGGGATAGGCAGGTTAGGTGGGTTAGCCATGGGAAATTCAGAGTTAAAGGGATAGGGTAGGGGGTGGTCTGAATGGGATGGTCTTTGGAGGGTCAGTGTGGATTTGATGGGTTGAATAGCCTCCTTTCCCACTGTAGGGATTTTATGATTCTATGGTCTCTCCTAAAATGGTCATTTATTATAGTATTTTTGTATTGCTGATAAGACACATTTTGTTGAAGCTTTTTTGCCTCATGTATCAGGACAAGTCACAAGAATGCCAAATTAAAGGGAAAACCAACATTTATATTGCATGAAAGGAGAGTGCTGATTAGTTGACAAGTGGGCTCTGGTCACGGCTTTGACATGGTGCACTTTCCAACTAATCAGCACTGTCCTCTCGTACTGTATAAATGTTGATTTTCTCCGTAAATTGGTATTCTTGTGAACTGTCCTGATGTGTGCAAGACAAAATTATTGAAAAAAAATGTCTTACCTTTTATGCTGTAGCTGTTGAAAATGCTGTATATGTGTATTTGTCTTATGCCTTTACCCTGGACAACAAAAGTGAAATTTTCACATACCAGAGGAGAATTGGCACACCCTGAGTTTCGTTGCAGAATTACTCAGAATTACATCGAAGTCTTTCAGGCAGAAAGTTAATCCTCCTTATAAAGCAAAGCTTCAAATTACTGCCTGGAGGACGACCATCAGGTAGTGCAAGCTGGTGTTAAATGGATGACAGATCTGTTTTTCATTCAGTGATTGGAGGTGGAGGATAGATTATTTACTGGTA